TTGTACTGCACACATTAGCTGAATGTAATAAAAATAAAATTCTGGATCGCAACTACTCCCCTTAATATTTAAAAAAAAAAAAAAAAACAAATAATAAATTAATACTGTATTTTTCTATTTTTATTAATGTTTGGCTCTCTATTATGCAATAATCTACATATCAACTAAAAATAAAACATATATTATTGTATAGTCCATATGTTCATTTACAAAACTCTTTAGTCATTTAATATTTAGAAGCTTTCTTACAGATGTTGCTCTAAGTACAACTAAAAATAACTATAGTAGTATATAGAAAATATATAATAATATTATAGTAAATATTACATTATAATTAATAAATATTAAATTAATTGTTTTATCATTTTAGAATGTTCTAAAGCATCTGAGATATTTGAGGCATGATCTGAGTCCTTTATTTAGAACTCTTGTAATATTAAACAAATATTATTTTAGATATTCAAATAACTATTAACTAAAATAAAATCTTATAAGAAATCTACTAATAAAATAAATATTAACCTATAAAATAAGTAAGTAAAACTAATAAAATAATTTATAAACTATGTAAAAATACTAAAAGAAATATAAATTATAATATAGAGCTAAAAATAAATATATAATAATATATAAAAAAAATAAATTTCATTACAATATAACAGAAAATGTTATCTAAAATTCTTTTTGCTAATCTTATTTATAAATTTAATTAAAACACAAATTATAAATAACTTGACAAATTGTATAAAAAACATGCAAAGAAAGATTAAAAAAAACTATAACCAATCTTGAAAACAAAACAGACAACAACATATAACTAGCTATCTGAGTAAACAACAAGTAAACAAACACAATATATATAAATTTAATTAATAATTTGCTAGTCATTTAAATAAAAATCATAATATAAAAGAGGTATGGTAACCTAGTAAAGTGGTCAGGTTGTCAACCCTCCAAGTGGTAAGTTGGGTGTTCAAATTCTATTAATAATAAAAATTTAGATAATTACCTATATAATATTTGTATTATAGCAACTATTACTAATGATTGGATTAAAATACCTGTAATGATGGTTGTACTAGCATAACTGGCAGATCATGATGCATCTGTGCAATGTTAAAGTTATACAAAGAAATGCAAACTAACAAATTTGATGATGCAAATACTAGATAAGTTCTTGTGACTATGTAAATTTATTGAAATTAGGTAACAAAAAGTCCATTTGAGAAGATCTGAATAAAGAGTTAGCTGGATCTTTAACAGCCCTACTGTAAAAACCAACTTAGTAAAATAGATACCAAGATCTAGTACTTGGTCATAATAGCTGAATAGGCAAGAACCTTCAGGTTAGGAGTCTTGGAGGTACTACCAACTAGACTGCCAGAATAAATCAGAGAAAAAGAATATTAGGCTGATCCAATATATCAATAAACTGATCATAGTCCTACATAGACTATCTGGATTAGAAGTTTAATAAAAAGATAGATGAAAAGGCAAGGGTATACTAAAGTATCAGAGTTATGCTATAAAGTAGATACTGGAGTCTAAGTAAACTCTACAAGAGCATAGTAGTTTAATAATTAAGCTCTGATCACAAGTGTTAGTTCTGCTATAGCAATATCTAAGTTAGTTATAAAAATGGGTACAGAAGACTTTGAGAGGTTTACCTCAAAGATAAATTAGTTCTAAGGTTGAAATGATAATCTGAGCATCTGAATATGACTTAATAGTTAACACAAATTACAGATTTAGAAGGTTTAAAGTATAACATTCAAGCAGAAGTATTAGATATAGCAATTGGTAGAGAATCTTTAAGCAAACTTCTTAAATAAGTAATATAGAAAAGTTACATATAGAGATGCCCACAGCAAAACAAGGCTTCAGGACTATATATTATATAGTCCCTAAGCTTTGTTTTGTTATAAAAATTCCTATATGTAGCCAATTGTACTCTTTCCTGTAGTGGTTCATTGAATCATATTATCAATAAGTAATTAATAAAAGTCAAAAGACCAAAAAGATCATCTTAACACCAAAAAAAAATTATAGCATAATATAATGCAGATTATTATGATGCAAGACATCTATACTTAATAATCATGTAATATGTTTTAATTTTTTCACTAATGATCATTTTATCACGTGTTTTAAAATTAACCAATAGAATTCTAATATGATAATTAATTTTAACTATTAAACATTTAACTTTTTATTCAAATACAATTTTTATATAAGGTAAATTATATTAATTAGTGAACTGTTTAAGACTTTGTTACTATTCAATCTTAATTACTAATATTAATATTATCCTATAGAAAACTATTTTAGCATTAGCTTTTCGAATGCAACTAAGTTTTACTTACTCATAAAATAACTTATTTGCATTTATTTAATACTACTGATCAAATTCTTAATGATCCTAGTCTTATTTGTTATATATAATAGTAACTTCTTAAACTGCAGATTTAACAATTTGCATATCTGTACAAAGTTAATGTTCCAGATGATTATGCAATTTATAGCTAACTACATTGAAATACAAAATAACTACTGTAATACAAAGCAAAATAATAAATTTATTCATATACATTTTTCAATCACTTAATAAATATATATTTTTTGATCATGTTTTGTTTTTTTTATATTTCATATACACCATTGTAGTCAGTTCAATATTTCTTAGAATAGCTTGCATTTTTTTTGTTAAACAGATATCAGTTGCATATAAATTATATTTTGCTTTGTTCAACTTAGCTTTTTTATACCTTTTTCTTAAAATATTAGATGATAGTAAGTATGTAGTTAGGTGTTATTCCTTTTATATTATTAATAATCCAATAAAATTTTCAATTGCAATTAATATCTTAGATTGTTTATAAAAAATTGTTTGAATAAATAACTTTAAATATTACATTATTATTGCTATATATCCTATTCATGAATTTAGCAAGTTATTGTAATAAACTAAAGATTGAGGCATTATTATATAGACTGAGCTTGAGTTAGTCTACTGAGAACAGGCTGTTTAGTTACCAAGACCAAACTAATCTTCTAATTAATTAGCAACCAATCAACCATATTGAAAAAGACAGATTTGGCAAATGGATATTCTAAAGCTTAGATCATCTTTCTTACTACTAAAAGATAAGTCAATTATCTCTTTAGGAGATACAGTAATTATGGATTAATATATAGACTTGGTAAAGATAACTCTACTATGCCACTTAGTAGAATATTAGAAGGTGAGATATTTAAAAAAAGTATGGGTTAGGTAATAAAACTTATTTAATAAAGAACTCAAGCTTTTATAAACAAACTTATCAAGAGTTATTTTTTATTATAAGCAAACATGCTCTTATTATATATATTTACATTACTATATTTTATATAACTCTTCTAATACTTAAATATATTTTATCTATTAAATATCTTATAATACTTAAAACTCTTTAATTTCTTTTATTTCTTTTCTCTATTAAAATTTTCATAATTCTTTTATCTTCAGAAAACCTATTAAAGGCTAAAGATCTGCATACTTGTATACAGATACTGCAGCATATTAGCCTCTAACTCTCATATATCTTTAAAGTTACTTGTATATCTCATATTACTAAAATATCAGGCCAAGTTTGGGCCTTATAAAAAAGCCCAGACTGGCTCAATAATATCTACTAATTAATTATATAACTAAATTAAGTGAATGAAATGATTTGAAAGTTTCAAAAATAAGTTTTTGGTATTAAAATAACACTATTTATATTATGTGTACATGTATGAAGCAATTTACAGTTGACCCTTCTGAGATTTATTTTGTATTAAAGTTTTATAAAGACAAATTTTATCACTAAGAGCAATGTTTATCATAAAGAAAAAAAAACTAGATCATTAAAATTATTTTATTTATTATTATCTAATTTTTATTTTTCTTGTTCTATTAGTTCTTTAATGTTTTCAGATAAATGATAATGTGACTTATACTTTTTAACTGCCTACTCAGCTGTTTTACCTGTTAATCCCTTATTATAAGCATCAATATACCATCATAACTTATAAGCAAATCTGCAAATTTTTGTTAGAAAAACATTTGTAAGAGCATTAGGAATTCTTTTTAATAAGTCATTGTAATTATAAATGCAAGATTTTCTAGTTTTCTGTTTTATAAAGCCCCAATATCTTTCTATAAAATTACACTCATAATAATATTTAGGGTATTTTTCAAATATATGCTCTACATTAACAAGTGCTTCCTCTAATAGTAACTTTTGCTCACAAAAATCAGGCTGTAATTCTATTATTTTTGGGGCACAACAATTTAATCTTTCTGAGCTATTATCTTTTTTTTTAGAACACTGCTTATATCTTAAATGAACACCTTCTGTTAGCCAAAGGTTATACTCTTCAAGCACTTTCTTTATGCCTTTTAGTTCTTCTTTTAATTCTTGTATATAGTAGTTATTTGAAAATATTATTAATTATGTCTTTTTATTTTTATTTTTATTAACATACCAACTATTATGCATCTTCAGCTGTGATCCTCTAGAGCCAAGGTTCATTCTTGTTGCAACTAATGCATCTTCTGCTATAGCATTGTGATTTGTTGACTGGTTAAGACAAAACATATCAATACATCTGGGATGCAACATTTCAAATATTATAATTGCTTGAAGAAGCTTATTTTATATTATAATATAATAAGTTAAAAGATAAAAAAAAAAAAAAAAAGCACAACCTGTTCTAATATATATTCTGCCTTCTAATAACTATCTTTTTGCACAGAATAAATAATGTAAGCCTCTTTTTGTTTTATTTTTAGATTAATTTGCAACTGTTTATCAGATAGTTGCATTAACCTATGGTATGAGTAAAGAAAGACAAAAACTATAATAAAATGTTTCATGTGTTTTGAATGAAGAATGCTTTTATCCTTCTCAGTTCAGATCCTTTAGCATCCATTATTTGCATAAAAATAACTTTCATCATGTGTTACTTGTACATATTCTTTTTCATCTTGCTTAAACTGAGGTTCTAATATTATATCTAGCATATCACTATTGAATTCTTTTATTTTTTTTTTATATTTGAACATTCTTTTTAACCACCTTTTTCTATATTTCACTACATCTGGCTACTCATGATCTGAATAAAATAGTTATGCAAAATTAACATAATGAAAAAAAAAACCTATCATAGTAAACTTCTTTTTTTCTTTCTTTATAATTGTATTTTAATGAATGCATATACCTTTGACATGTCCTTTTACTAATCATGCTCTTTCTAATACCTGACATTTCTGAAAATAATGAACCTTCAATATATGTTTTTAATGCACTGGAAAAGAATGACTCTGGTTTTTGCTATTGTAACTATTCCTAATAACCTTTGGTAAACTCTTTATTGTCAAGCAAGCCTTTGTTTTTTACATGCTTTTCTTGTTAATATATGAAAAGTTTACTTGTTTCTATATAGTGCTCTTATCACTTCTGAATACATCTTATCATATAATTACTCTTACTTTACACCAACTGTACAATCTGAAAACTGGCATTTATTTTATCTTTTTCATTTAAATAATTGTATGAACCTACTTATACTTATCAAACATAAATGATTATAGATAGATATATTATTTTTTGAAGATTTTGTTATCAGGCATTGCCTATTAACTTCTTCTAATCATTTATACAATCTTGTATTACTTATGGATAGTATAAGATTATTTACAGTAGTTGTTTGAGGCTGTTGCACTAGTGATGTATTATTTGTTAATGTTTTATTATCAAGTAATAATGATATATTACATGAAGTTTCAACATCGAGTAATGGTAAATTACTTGATGTTTTAACATCGAATAATAGTAAATTACTCAATATTTCAACATCAAGTAATGGTAGATTACTTGATGTTTCAATATCAAGTAATGGTAGATTACTTGATGTTTCAACATTGAGTAATGGTATATTATACAATGTTTTAACATTAAGTAATCTACTATTATATAATGTTTCAATATCAAGTAATGATAGATTACTTAATATTGAAATATTAAGTAATGATACATTATTTGATGCTTCAACATTAAGCAACAATGGTATATTATTTGATTCAATATTTTTTTCTTGGTCTTTTTTTTTGTTTTGTTACCAAATTGTTGTTCTTAAGATCTTGGATATATATCCTTTTTTTTATGCTTATAGCTTTATCAACTTCTTGCACTGTTAATGCAGATTCTTCTTAGATATTAGTAATTTCTTGTACTTCATTTTAAGACTCAAAATAACCTCATTTTCTTGGCAAATTATTCACTTGTTTTAGTCTTTTTGTAAGTTATAGCATTGTAAACTAACATTTGCATTGCAGCACATGACTTATATATATAGTTTTAGGTAGATGCAGTCTAGTATGTTTACAAAACATTATTTGCATAATTTACTTATATAACATATCACATAACATGTATAAAAAAAGTCTATATAAAATTAATTGATTATTTCTCATAACTGGTTGGGTTAGCTTTTTATTAAGTTTTATAAAAGGTTATTTTAAAATTCTTATAAGAAGTGATTAATTTCATGTGGCCTAATAAAACCTTATTAAGACTAAGTATTAAATTATTTCTTTTATTTAGATATAATTTTTATTTTGCTTTTGTCTTTTCAAAAATAGTCATACTAATTTATATACTTTTACTATATAGAGATATTTAGAAAATGTGCTAAAGTTTTTTATGAATGATTTGAGCTAATAATTTATTTATGCAACTATTGTGTAGTGCTTATTAGATTCTTTTTAATAGTTTATTGAAATTTATTACTATATTTAATAAATAGCATTTAAGTATAGTTAGAATTATGACATATAGCATTCTACTTTTTACTAGTAGAGATTTAAAAAAAAAAATAAAATAGTGCAATTAGCTATAAAATCACACTTAATACAATATGAAATTTAAATAAAATTTATTTCAGATTTGTCATATGCAATGATTTATTTAGTAATAAAAAGTTGTACATATGATATTTAAATTATACATATATATTATATACTATTATAATGTATAAAACTTGAAAATAATGAGAAATTAGACAATTCTAGTAGATTTTTTGATTCTTAAAGAAACTTGATTTCTCTACCATTATCATCATGAAATCATAAGATTATATCTTTTTGCAAACTGTTATAAATATTTTTAAAGACTTTGCAATTTGATTTTAGCCAATAATATGCTTCGCATATGATCACGTGATTGTTTTAATTTTACTTAAACTTATAAACTTTAAAATCCTAAAACTTTTTATACAAAAACTATTTTAGAAATCTGATTAGTAATTTTGTAAAGCTTATTATAATGAACAAAGTTACTGGTCAGATTTTAAAAATAATGTCTGTGTAAAAAGTTTTAGAGTTTTGAAAATGCTAATTATCATAATCATGTGATTGTTAAGTATAGATGTCTTGAACTATATAAAAATTGCATTTAAATAAAAAAGTTAAATGTTTAATAGTTAAAGTTAATTATCATATTACAATTCTATTAGTTAATTTTAAAATACATAATAAAATGATCATCAGTAAAAAAATTGAAACATATTACATAATTGTCAAATATAGATGTCTTGCATTATATTATCATTAATGATTACTAATAATATATAACAAAAATTTGTTAAATTTTATAAAAATTGTTATTAATCAATAATGATTATAATTGTTTATAATCATTATATATTAATAGTAATATATATTGATATATAGCAACTAATTGATATATATTAATTATATATATATATATATATTGTAATTAAATTAGCTTCTTTTAGAGCTAGAGCTTTTTATTCAGTAGTTAAGATATAAAAACTCACAACCAAGGCCTCAAAGGAGTTTCCTTACATTAGAAAGTACAACTAGTCACATATACACTTTTGGTATCTAATTAAATAGTTTATTGATATTCTATACTAGCTTCTATATCTGCAACCCAATTAGAGGTGTTGTCTATTTAAACTCTTTGTATAGTAATTCTTACTATATTACTAAATTATTTCTGCTATATAAGTTAGTCAAGAAGGTCTAGATGCTTACTTATATTCTTAGGACTTCATACTTTATTTTATATAGTATATTCTTAGAAGCATTATTATTAGAGCCTTTCATATCCTATATATAGCTAATCTAGTTTTATGTAATACATTATAGTTATCTAATACTTGCAATTAGAGTTAACCATAAATTGCTACATTATACTATTTTTAACTTTGTAAAGTTTATCCAAATCTCAATATCTATCTTTCTGACATCTTCTTTATTATCTTCTACTAACTGCAAATCAGAACTGATAGACTTTCTAGATTTCTAATTTAGATGATCTGATATGATATATTTTAGTATTTTTTTTCTTTAGCAATTCTAATAGCCTGGTTGATTATATGCTTTTTACATATCTTGTTATTTGGTTTATCTGTCTGTTTCTATAAAGGTATTTTATAGACTTTTATTAGTCTAACAGTACTATCAAAAGTTTGTGTTATCTTTTTATTTAAAAATTTTTAAATGAAATTCTGTTTTCTCAGTTTCTTAGTCTTCTATGTCTGGTGGTCTTATTATGGGTTTGCACTAAAGTTTTATGCAACATTGGTTATTAATATCTCTCTATATATATATAATATTATACTTTGCATAAATGCTCTGAGCTCCTAATAACAAGTAGGCTCTAACTTGATATATCTATATTACAGCTATATAAAACTAACTGATTGACAGAAGACAGTTTCTGTAATACAGATTAATTTCTAAATTTCATTGTAAATGAAATTTGAACCTTAGATCAGTCACTTGAAGAATGACAATTCAACCACTACACTAGGATTGTTATTCTTTTATATTAATTATTTTTAATTAATATATATTGATTAAATACTATATATCAATACAAATTTATTTAAAAATTTTTTTGATAATATTGGTTTTTTTTTTTAATATTAAGATAATCTTTTTGGTCTTTTGATTTTTATTAATTACTTATTAGTATTGTGGTTCAATGAATCACTTTAGAAGAGCATACAATTGGTTATATATATAACTTTTCTATATTATCTATTTAAGAAATCCATCTAAAGTTCTCTAATAATTGTCATACTGTAATAAAATTTACTAAAAACTATCAAGCTATAGCAAATTTTAAAGTAATGAGTGTTGAGTAGAAGATCTTTTATTTAAAGAAAAATAAAATAAATAAAAATAACTAA